AAATTCTTCTCACAATAAATACATTGGTTTCTGAAAACAATTTGTTCATCCAGTAAGAAATGTCCGGTTAGCGCTGGGCGATAACGCTAGCTGAGAAATAGAAACCGCCAGTAACGTCCAATGCGGGCTACCCCCTCCTCGGGCTGGACATTTAAAAAACCATAAGTAACTGAAGCGGCTCTGATCGCTTCAATTACTTTTGATGGTTTTTTAAATTGTCCAAATACTTATGAGAAGGTGGTAACAATTTAAACAGTGGCGCTGATAAATGACCACAGAAAAGAGGAACGCGAGACCTACTCGCATGCACTTCGTTGTCTCAAGCATGCCTTTCCGAGCATGCCTCCCCAACAAAACCCGTCTCAAAACAACAAAATAAGCTTTAAAGAGAAATTTACCGCATAAACCCCCTCCACCAGTCACCCTACGACATTTCTATGCTCATGTAGGACGGCCACTAATGCTTTAGCATTACTGCCTTACTCATCTCACAGAAGTTAATGATACAACAGACCTTTAATGCTATAATCTTGAAACTTAGCTCAGAGCCCCAAAATCGATATTTTCGCAGAACTTGAGCGCTCCCAGAAATACCACTCGCACCAGCCATTTCGCTGCCTACACTTTTCCAGACTGTGCTTAGCGATGTCACGAACAAGGATATAAACACCCCTTCCCTTGCCCACAAAAGTTCTTCTAGTCGCAAGCTTTTTTCTTTTCTGCTTATGTCCTGCCTCCAACTTCTCCCATTTTCAGGAAAAGAAGCGCCATTATTTCTTACAAAATATCTCATAACTTAACAATTTACATTAAAATCATTACCGTAGCAGTCTCGATTTCAGATGTTCGATATATTCGCTGACGAAAACTGAAAATTGAATGCCAATAGCAAAAAGTGTGGATGCTCACACAAGAATCAAAGAGGAATTCCCCAAAATGAGAAACTATTGAAAAGAAGGAATGGAGGAAGAAACACTACTGTATGAAATGAACACTCGGGCATGGATGGAAGTTCTAAGCTCGTTTACTTGTCGAGCTTGACAAAACTATGGAATTATCTTTGTTCAAGAAAATACCAGTAGATTACTAGGTTTCTTAAATAGGGCATGACACGGTATGGGAATATAATAAAAAGTTTTTGACAATGTGATTCACTGCATCGGAATTTACATTAGTATTTTGTGACTTGCAGGGGATGAAGAGGAAATTAGTCAGCTGAGAACAAATTAATTTTCATGTAAAACGGAAAAAGGCAGGCATTAAATTAATAAATACCCAGGTTATCCGGCGATCCAAGATTCAGATGATGAATCATATAGAGATGATGGATTATTTTCGAGCGATTCCCCACTGACATGTGTTTGCAGAAAATACACTGTTGCTGGAAATTTGTCTCTTCCCGCTCACGTTGTTGACATGCTAGCACCTAAAAATAAAACACCACGTCCAAAACAACTGATGTCAGTTACGACCAGTGAAAGCCCGGTGGAAAACACAAGCACGTCAATTCGAGACACATTCACCCTACAATGAAGACAGGGGACAGCTTGCCCCACAGAAGAGAGTACAGATAAAGCCGCTAAGGGATACGACTATAGCAGGCAAGAGCTACGTGAGAAATTATATAAGGTGAGTTGAAGCTAGTCAAGACAGAGAGCAAACCGACCAGAAAAATGCAAAATGGAAGTAACACTCAATCAAAGGCGCTGAACTTATGGAATAGAAAATTGCCCCAAGCAAAAAACAGAATCATGGATTTTCACAAAACGCGCGTGGAAGCATTAAAATAATGCAATATGGTATGGGAAGAACGAGATCACTGCGAAAACAGGATGAGGCCAGGTAAAGCATGTAAGCGAGCGAGGAAGGGAAAGCAGGAAAAAGAAGGTCAAGCTGCCGCAGAAAGTCTGCTTTCCTGGTTATGCATGAACATATGTCTCGTTTCATCCGCTTCGCAATGTGTCCAGATAATTCAATCAAAGAAACTAAGCTCACAGGAAAAGAGCCAGAGATTACGCGCTGGAATACGAATATAAAAGCAACTTCTGAAACTCTAAATTTTCTGAAGTACGACTTTTAAGGCTCCCAATTTTCTGACTTCGAGTCCGAAAAACGCTGGGACTGGGTTTCATGAATGAGCCGAAATTTCAAGAACTCAGTTAACTAAACAATTTTCAGTGAGACAAGCTTTCAGGCTTCGACACGCCCGGCCTCTAACCTCAGATCAAGTTCTGAAAAATTTTAAGAATCTGAAGCAAAATGCGTCGCATGCATGCGTCTGGTAAATTATTTCATTAAAGAATATATAATGGAGGGTGCGGAATCAACAAGTCTCAAATCCAGGTGAACGCTATCATTCTAAAAGGGCGCAGGAAGTTACAAGATTATGCACAGTGCGAAAGCCTTCTGCACGAATTCGCGCATGCCATGTACAATACTACGCAGACAGAGTCCAAGAATTCATGCAGAAAGCTTTCGCACTATGCGTAATAATCTCGTAGCAGATGATGCAGCAGTTCGTCGCCCAAAACGCTCAAACTACGTAAATGTAAGTACTCTATCCAGAACAGTTCACACACAGCAAAAAAAAAAAATTCAAAAAAAAAAAAAAAAATCATATACTTTGAAAACCATTTACAATAAATACACATTTCCTCAACAAATGTTTACAGATGCATTGTGCAAACGTAAAAATCCAAAGCGGTCCAAAGATCTACAACGCAAAACGACACGCTGGTTCGCAATTGCGCGAATAAGTACGAATTCGTAAACTTTGGAAAAAAAAAAAGCGTTGTAGTCACCTCTTCAAGACGTCGCATAGCAAGTTTCTGCCGCAACCCATAGTCTTCCTGAAGGCGTTCACTCATTTCGTAGTAGCAATCCACTGTTCCATAGTAAGGTGACCCCTCGACGGGAGTTACCTTCGGAAAGATTTTATCAACGCCTTCCTCTGTAATGCGCTGTCGCCAATGCTCCACATATCTAAATGAATCATATCGTACAATTTATGGCATGTTTTAAGGAATTTGGTATGCTTACGTTTCAAATCGAAGAAGTTTAGTGGACAACAGAGTAAAAATTCAACCGAGCTGAGAACGAATGCGCACAAATAACGTTAAAGGAGTGCAGTTCAACAGGATGTCGGATAAAGCAAATCGCGGCCGCAAAATGATTCACATCTCTCACAAATTCAAGGCGTACGGAACATGGAGGCTTGCCTAACATCATATATATATATGTATAAGTATACATGGATACACATATATGTACATGTTCATAATCTGGCTCTAAAACTTTACTTCTCTTTCGGTTGCTTTAACCAGTGCTTCACTGCCCCTTGATCAGCCTCCTGCTGATTCTGACATTCATTTTGCCTCCCGACGGAACTACTGGCTCACTGGTTCTTCGAATAAATG